TCTCTTCTGAGAACACTTCCTCTTATAACACCTCTAACTCCTAACCTCTAACATGCACTTCCTGTGCTCTTCTTCTTCTATCCCCTTACAATTACCTTGTATTGATTGCACTTTTTTTTTGTTAACTCTTACGTCTTTCCCTAGGTATTTACCCCATTGATGCGATATGAATTATGAGCTCTTACTAGTATTTATTGCTGTTCTTACTAGTATGTATTGTCAGTTGTAGATCTGTATTTGATGCTCTGTTGATGCTTGTATGTTGTTCCTCAAATGTAAGTCGCTTTGGATAAAAGCGTCTGCCAAATGAGTAAATGTAAATGTAAGCCCTTACTTTTGAAGTAATGTACAGTCTAAGCTATGGTGACAGATGACTACAAACTGCAGCTTGAAGAAAGAGTGATGGGGTTTCGCCGGGAACTTGCACTGATTTCAACCCTGGAGAAAAACAAAGTCTCTCCTGTGTTTCCCAACTACGGTCTGGGAGCCGAACAGGAATAGTTAGATACTAACGTTGCTTACCAATAATATTAATGGAAACAGGTCTTATTTATCTATTTAAAACTCAAGCAGTCAAGTAAAAACAATATAAAAACACTGAATTAAAAGCTGAGCCAGCTAACTCCCGATTTAGCTCTCCGCTAAATTGAATGGCAATAAAATTAATCAGTCCAGTAACATTTGGAATCTAGACTTTCCAAATGTTATCGGACTGAATAGATCAAATTCTGAAGTAAAATGAGTCATTCTTAAACGACGCATCGATGAATCCTTGAAATAATCTATAGAAGCTTCGAATACTAAAATCATCGTTAGCTGCATACCTAGTCATCACCATTTATATCTATAGCAGTGACATTGTGTTCTCCCCCTTACAAGAAATTAACTTGTTACATAAATGACATTTTGCTTCCTCCTTATCCTTGGCTTTAGTGAAATGTAGCCAAGCCTTTGACAGCTTTGCACATCCAGCCTGACCAAATAAGAAATAAAGCAAATTAATGCGTGAGACAATTCAGTTCTTCTTTATTTAGTTGAACAGTGTTTGGGAGGCAATTCAATTGAATTCAAAAACGTATGTATGTTTGTGCACCAGTGATTTGATTTAAATGACTTGACTTGTCTCTCGAGACATCAGGTTACATTATAGGACCCGCTAGTCTCTGTAGCAGTATCAATAAGATCAAACTTTATTGATTTTCGGGTTTCAAGAAATTTGAAACCAGGCCTCGATCCCCATCGCTGACGAACACTTAGACAAAATCACCCCAGCGCGCTTTGTCAAGACGGCAGCGGCAGCAAGACAGCACTGCAAATCCTATTTACTTTTGACCCTACAAAAGCATTGTATATTACGATTATCAACACAAAGAGTGTGTTTCTGTTATTAGTACTCACTTGAAATACGTTTCTTCATCACCCCCAATGTTAAAAGTAATTTCTACACCACTGCTGTTAAGGCAATGTAACACCGTGCCTCATCTAATCTTTATTTTGTATCCATTAATTGTTAAATTAATCAAGTAATAAAAATTATCTTTGAATAATCTATATATGTTAGATTAAAGTAGCAGTAAAGTGCAAGCACCTCAAAATTGTACTTAAGTACAGTACTTTAGTAAATGCCGTAAATACTTGGGTACTTTCCATCAATGACAAAGTGTGTGTGTGTGTGTGTGTGTGTGAGAGAAGTGTGAATGTCACTGGGAGCAGAAGCAGAGCTGCCTCTTATCTTGTGTTACACACACACACACACACACACACACACACACACACACACACACACACACACACACACACACACACACACACACACACACACCACACACACACACACACACACACACACACCACACACACACACACCACACACACACACACACACACACACACACACACACACACACACACACACACACACACACTTAAAAAAGGCTGTACCACCCTGTACCAGACAAAGAGAAAAAGAGCCAAAATGAGGGAGAGGGGGTGAATACAGATATAAGCTTGGTTTATATTTAAGTATTTCAGGTCATGTATTAAATAAAAAAAAAGAAAAGAAATCTATAATCTTTTGTCAATGTCCTTAAAAACACAACACAAAGCCTTGACATAGTTAAAGTGGTAAAGTGTTTTTAACTATGAAGTAATGGTGCAATAAATAGTCATGGAAACATGTTGAATTACCACACCATTCAGATATATCAGGGTACATGGCTGCTCTAATTTGGCTGTACGACCATTTGTTGGTATGTTTTAAATAACAATACAAATATTTTGTTTATTATTTGAATGGTGAACCAGTATTTAGTTTTTACAACATTTAAACTCTACTGAAAGCCGGGCTAAGCTGCTCCTAACACGGCATGCTCACCCAATCCATTGTTTCACTGACTGGCACTCTGAAATTGCTTAGCAAATGCTCAAACAGCACACTAGAGTTAAGCACACGGACCAGCAGTGGCAAGGAAGGAACCATCATCATATCCAAGGTGAACGACACTGACCAGGTGACAATAACAGCCCCAGTGTAAGTCTAATCCTGATTTAGTGACACATTTTGACTTGGCAGCAGCCTAACTTTGGGTCTCAATCAGCTCAGAGATCCAGAGTGAAAATGAGAGTGAGACAGTGAGCGAGAGAGCATTCCAGAGAACAGAGGACTTCTGTATTTTGCTGGCCTCTGGCCCAATGTGCCTGTCCTCACCTCTCTGCTTCACAAGCTCACTGTGTACGTGTGTGTCATAAAAGTAAGCTTTGACCCTGTCACCATAGTGAGGTGACCTCATACCTGGTAGTAGTGCCTATCTAAAGGTCAGTTCACTCTATAGAGCACCAGGGTGTTCACACACTGTCCTATAAAGTATACTATACAGCTGGCGACGACTAACCACATGCACCTGCAGCTCTGTGGCTAGGCTGCCTATAACTTAAGGGAGGGTACATGACTAGATATTCCTCCCAAATTCTACTCCTATCCTATAAAAACACATTACTATTACTTTATCTAAATGTGGAACTTGCATTGTTTGTTACAGAGCCAGGGCTGAGTACAAACACCATTTTTTTTTTCAGTGCACACACTGAACAGCTAGCAGGCCGAGAGAAAATATTCACTGAATTTGACAAAAGGACATGAATTAGAATCACTTACCCCACCTTTAAGTTAGGTTCAAGTCCAAACCTGTGAGTAAGATATGAACCACTAATATTTATGCCACTATGCAACACCAGAAAAACCCAACCCTTTTAGGCTAAACTCCTACACAGATACAGATCTCAGGCTATGACATACAAACATGCGTTCTGGAACCAAAACACATTATGCAATACATTAATTTAAAATACATAGTATTTGCCACAGTATGGACTTAGCACCGACATCTAAAAATATAAATTCAACATGTCAGTAAAACTGTCAAGCTTTCACCAATACAAAATGTCTTAGTAACGGCTGAATGCTTGACAGGTTTGACATGTGACAAGCCCAGGTTTCGTTGGGATCTTTTCAGTATCAGTCACTTTTCAATGTCTACAATGCGGAAAGCCACATTGAAACGTATGCCACCACATGGAATTCAGTGCAAACCAACTGCTTTTGTACTGAATGAAACAAATGAAAGTTTTATTTAAAACATATTATAAAGAAGCATCTACACAAAATAAATCTGTAAAGACCTGTGGTTAAGTGCATACATGATCTTCTAGTTGACACTATATTGTACACTTCAGCTGTGATGGACAATACCATGACACACTCATTTGTATTTCCACTTGATCCTATCGCAGGTACACAGGTGATTATGAGATGTCATGGTTTCAGCCGACATACCTGTTCTTACTAACAGGACAGGACTGTTTGTCAGTGAAACTACAGATTACTCTGTTAAAATCTTCCAAGCTAGTTTCTTGCCCAAGTGCACTCCAACGATGTTTGTTTAAGGAGAAGACTGTAAGGTTAAGCTTCTCTCAAACACACCACACAACCTGGCTACATGAGCAGCTACACCATGGCAACATGTCAGACAAACTAAATCTGCATAGTGTTATCAATGCAGGTCTGCAGACAGCGAGATTAATTCACTCACATAGGGTGTCAGCACAGTTGTGACTGATAATATATGATTCAGTAAAGTTTGCCCTTCTCCTCCTCCATCTTTACATCTCTTGTGGTAGAGACAGAAAAACGGTTGACATTAACCGAAGTATTGGCTTCATTTTATGTTGGCACAATCCAATGCATAATAAAGATCTAATAAAGTTATTACTTTTGAAAAATATGTCTGATTTAGATTCTTATTGAATTAAAATCTGCCACGCCTCAGACAGTCTTAACTTCTTATTTCAGTCGGCGTATGTGTATTCTGATAACCACAGAACACCATGCATTTTTGAGCAGCAGCAAGTTAAGCAGCTAACGTTAACTAGTAGCCAGCGTTTGGTAGTGTTGACACGGAGTCTTTCACGAAAGGTGTGATTAAAACGCTGTAATATTAGCCAACGCTACGGGATAAAAACTGCACAAATGACAAAACAAAACACAGTCCTCTACTGTAACGCCACCGTTGACTTTAACGTTTATCAATCAATGTTACATGTAAGCATGTAATTTTATTTAACACTGAAAGTTAGAGTTCTTTCTGTATTTGACAGGGCGGTGTGACAGCTAGCTATGTGTACGTTAACGATGGCTATAAGAAGTTACAGTTTGGTCTTTTACTATCAAAGTAAACCAAAAGTAACGATAGCTGCTCTATAACGTAACGCTAATTAGCTTTATTTTCAATAGAAATAAAGTGCTTTAAGTTGGTATAACCCGTTCGCGGCAGTTTAGCGGTAACTATCCTCACAAAACCTTACTTTATTTTGTAAGTGTGGGTTCATGTTACTTATCGTTATCAGGCTAATGTTAGCAGCTAACTAGCTAGCTTGCTCCTTCCTGCAGCACCTGTTGATAACAAAGCCGCTTCAGACCAGACCGAAACCACTGGAGTACTCACTCTGCTTCTGAGTTGTCCGCGTACTTCTTTAGCTGCTAAATCCAACTGGGAGCTCGTAATTAAGTGTTAGTTGTAATCCAACCAGTCGTAGTTCCTAACGTTACTTATTTTTCTAATTCTCAGTTTCACTCCAACAGACGTGTTGCTCTTTTATCGGACACCGCGGCTCTGTCCTCTCTCCTCCTCTCTAACTGTCATTCCAACGCCAGACAGGGGGAGGAGACAACATGCCACCAACTAGATAAAACACTGATGCTGATTGGATACAACGATGAAAGGAATCTTGTCTAAACCAATCAAACACGTTGCTACATCAGTAGACTGTGGCAAGTGAACGCCACACTGGAATAACTACTAGCCTATTGATAAATTAGTATCGACGCCAAAATGAAGAAGAAACAGGATAACCAATGAAAAAGAATCTGGTGGGTCATTTAATCTTTCTGACATTTTTCGTTGAAGATAACATTTTAATTTATTATTTGTTACTCTGTAGTTCAATTCTTATGCAAGGATGTGTGCAACAACACTTCCATATGTTACTGCTAACGACATAGATGTCTTTTGATCCTACTGTTTACTATTTGCAAAGCGGCTGAGTCGGGTCTGTACCGTGTTCCCAAAGCATTTCGAACAAACAAAAATGTCCTTTTAATACTGATGTTGATGTGTCATCATTTCCACAATGTCAATACTTGATGCCAGGTTCATGGGGATCACAAGGTCGAGCTAACCTGAAACTCAGAGCTACATATAAATACTTTAGCTGGGCTTTGTTTTCATCTCAAGTAAAATATTTTAATAGGTAATGTTAGGGAAAGGGAAAATACTACTGAAAATACAACAGATGTTACATTATTTAAAATCAAAGTAACAGTAACACAAGTAGGGTATTAATGAACATATAACCAATTTTTCAGGAAAAAGGTCGTTTTGGGGAAGTTCCTTAAATTGTGTTTAAATATCCATTTTCACATTCATTGACAACATCAGTGGCCATACAGCATTTGTCACTGGAAGACAAAAATCTTTAAAAAACCCACACAACTTACTTTCTAAGTGCCAAAATGCTTCCAATATTAAACAAATTCCAATATTCTGCCAAATTTGGCAAAGACAAAAAGGAAGTTTCTACAGCAATAAAACATGTTCATCTTCATGGGGTTTGGCATATTTTCTTTTGGTTTAAAATTAGATTATACAACATTAATTTGGGCTGCTTGATCTAACATCAAGTATTTTGATATAAAGGCCGAGAGAAAACTTTATGCAAAATTACAAAAGAGAAAATGGATTTTGCAAATATATCCAAAGTTTTTTTTTGCTGAGTCTGAATGATGGAATATACATTTAGATATTAGTTTAGATATTCATAATCCTTCAGTTCTCTTTCTCGCCTAGGGAAGTTGTATCCTTCCTTGTAATTATTGATACAAAAATGCCTATTAAATTTATCTGAAATAACTGCATAAGGCTGTAATGTTTCTAGCTTTGCACACCTAGCTCTCGCCAATGAATGAAACTAAAGTGACTTTTTAGTGTTTCAAGATAAGTCTTCAATATTATATCACATATAATTATTAAAAAAAACAAAAAAACATGCCCAAACAGAACATACAGAATAATCAGGATTATTTTTATTAATTCATCTTCAGTTTCAATAATATCATTACAGAAAAAAACATCCTCTTCGTTATATTTATACAGTAGTAGTAGAATGCTGTGTCATTGCTTCATTACAAGTGCTGGTCATAGTTTATAGTGTGTGTGCAGTGTGACACTGAGTTCAGTCCAGTGTTACGTATCACTCAGTACAAAGGCAGTTTAACAATAACCTGCTTCTTCTTATTCAAATGAATCTATCTGGGTTTGATTGATCCTCTCTGGGCAGGTACCACGACATTCTCTGATGCTGCATTCATGTCATAATTGGTTTACTGTAAATATGAGCTGCCGAAAAGATAAATTTGATAATTGTTTTAAAACTTTTAAAATTTCATTTGGATGTGGGCCTTCCACTGAATAAATGACCACCTTTAAACTGCTGCAAAAGTGTTACCTTGTTCTACCACCTTGTCTTACATGACATGAACTCAGCATTAGCCACTGATAAGATAGATATATGGTGCATTTGAGGTAACTGGGAAGTTTCTGACATCTGAGCTAGAGAAATAAATGAGAAGACAGTGTTGGTTCCAGAGCCTGGACTTTAAGAACTCTTCTTATGTACCAATAATGGCATCAAGAACTGCCATGAATGTAATTTAGTCAGATCAGAAGTCCTGCCCAGGTGCAGCACCCTGGTCTCACGCCTGGAATGAAACCTGCCCAAAGAGAAAGACATGCCCTCTTTATGGGCATGCATGTGTGGAGGAGGAGGGGAAGTAAGAGGGAAGATGAGGAGGAGAGGGAGGAACAAGGGGAGAGGGGTCAAAAGCTCAGAAAATCTGACCAGTGATGCATTCAGGCCATAGAGAAACGATAGTAGACATGAGCTTCTCATCTGGAAGTTAACTCATCATATGCCTGGGGGTAATTGAAGCATGTAGATCAGCAGCAGCAACCAACATCTAGAAATAAACATCAATTACTAATATTATCTTAGTGTCTTTACGTACCATTCAATTCAAAAACTACCAGAACTTTGTACCAGTTATTCCAATATGACCTGAAAGCAGCAATAAACCTTTGACCATGTGGGTTTGTTTGGCACTGATAGGAAGAATCAGAGGAGCTAGAGGAGTTAAGGTATGGTGCATTGGTGAATGCTTAGGACTCACAGATTGCATATAATGCATTTGAATGGTCCTTGTTAATTGGTAAACAATTTTAGTTCAGTGCTTAATCAGCAGGATACAGCAGCCAGCCGGCCTACTAACTTGTTAATGCTAACAGTAAACTAAGCTTTTATAGTGGGCTAAATACCAAACAAAGTTTCTATATTTGTCAGTGTTGCTCAGACTATGTACAGTACATTGAGAGAAAAGCAGTCATATGACGTAGTTTGTTTTACCGCTTTGAACTGTGTTGATTCTTTTGACTTTAACAAGCACCTTAACACTGTCATGGTAGAAATACACCAGTTGTGTAATGTACGAGCACCTGAACGTGACACCCTGCTTTCAAGTGATGTCGGGTCTGAGTTTTCTCTGAGTTGGGAAAACAGAATGTCACAACTCACTCAAGCAGCTCTTTTGTTCATGTTCGTTGGTATAGAAAAAGATGGGGGGTGCCTGATTGGCCAAACAAAAGCCAGCCTTTCAGACTAGCTGTCAACTCAGTATAGTCCTTCATCTTTGGCTATTCAAAGGATAAGGTGGATTATATTCTACATTTTTCTTACCATCAACAAATCCCATGAAAGGACCCTAACCAACAATAGATCCTAACAAGTGTGTGTGTATTCAAAGCCTGCTATTTCTTATTACTCGGTGCCAAAGAGCTCCATTGTTGTCCAAAAACTCCTAAAAAACACAATAATGAGCCACACTGTTACACTGGTTGACATGCTCCTTCATAACCATTAACACACACACACTGTAGATTATTTTAACTAAATCCCACATACACCATCCTGCTGCAGGAAATACTCACTAAATGTGTAATAATGCGTGGCTGAAAATAGTCCCCAACAAATGTACCGTTTCTTCCTGTTTGAGTAGTGTTTCCTAAAAACCACAGTGCCCTGCTGAAGGTTTATGAAAGCAAAGTAACTATATAAACTCAAAAATATCTTGGTGGATGAGAGACAGAACAGAACAGATTCTAATGTCACTTTCAATATGTTTCTGCTTGTTGGAACAGGTGAATTGATGAAGTATTGGCACTTACAGTAACGAGCGTAGTTGTCGTCAACTCGAATTATCTTCACTTCACCTGCTGTCTGTCTGTCTGTCTGTCTGTCTGTGTGTGTGTGCGTGTGTGCGCACCACACATACTTGGTTTCAGTACCCATGCCTAAACAAAAGGATCTGTCTTATTCATCGCATGTCAGGCAATCTTTTTTGCACACGTTCTTATATGTCAGCACTAGACTGGAAACAAGAGGAAAAACTGCTCGCCTGGTTCTGTCTGACGGCAACCTAATCCACCTACCAGCATCTCTAAAGCTAACATGGTATATCTTGTTTGTTTAATTCATTAAAATATTGTAAAAATAACAATTGCTGGTTTTGGTCCTTTTTTTTGGATTTGTTGATAATAAGAAAAATATTGAACATCACAAACATTATCCTGTAATAGTTCAATAGTTGTAAAAATGCAAATACTACAATTATCAAAGACTGTCTAAGTATTTCAATTTCATACTATAGTTTTATGGTGTAAACTATAAACCTCTGTGAATCAAACACCACTTGAATGCAGGGTTACGGTTATTCTGTCAGTGTGGCCCACCTCTGATATGAGGGAAGTTCCTCCCTGACTACAGATCATAGAAGTCATTATGGATTTTATTATAACAATTATATTTATATTTGATGTTGTGCAAGAGAGGATTTTCCTGCCTCGCACTGCCTTAAAGCTGAGCCACTCACCCGCCTAAAAGAGTTTCATGGCTTTCATTGAGTCATGATGAGTTTTAGAGTTATACTACACTTATGTATGGTTTGAAAGTGTTACATCTGAAGGAAACATAAAAAACAAATCTCTTTGTATTTTTTTCCTTTTTGGCAAAAAAAAAAAAAAAAAAAAAAAATCATATTTACTGTACTGGCACAAACTATAACAGCAGCTCCAACCAAAAAGATGTCTTTATATGCCTTTAGTTCATATTTCTTTCAATACGGATGGTAGGGTCAGTGTGTTCCTGCAGGAAGGGGTTATCAAGGAGTTTCTATACCTAGATAGAGGATGGCAGAGCAGAAAAGAAAAGAAGGGGGAGAGAAGGAAAAAAGGTCAGGAGGAGGGGAGGAAGGAGGGGAAAGTCTCTATATCTCTATATCTACCAGGGGAAAATGTTGAACGCACAAAGCAAATGAACAGGAGAGAAGAGGGCATGATTACTACTAAGATGATAATATTCAATAAGAACCATGATATATATTAAGAATATCAATAATCATTATCATCAGGATAATAATAATAATAATATTACAGAATAAATCTCATATTTTATATTTTTTCACATTTTTTTCTCCATTGAAATACAGTGATCTCCTCAGAGCAGACCAATGAGAATTCAGCCTCCGCTGGCTCCGATTGGCTGTTGCATATGACATCACAGCTAATGGCGACCAGGTAGACATGCATCACTTCCTGCCCCCGCCCATTTCCTGTCCAGACAGGAAGTCCTGGCACTGCCATGGTAATCGGTAGCGAGTGACATTTAAGTCTGGGGGAGAAAGTATTTTGGTGTTACAATTGAATGCGTTTTGTAATTGTAAAATACATTTATAGGCCATCTGTAAGGCTACAAGTGACTTGAATAAAACAGATGAGAATATAACAAACCTGCATCATAGCCGTCCGATGACCATGACATCCACAACCTCTCCCTTATGCAGCTCCACATACTGCTCTGTTTTAGGAGGCAACATCAGCAGACCGTTGGCGCTACGCATTGACATTAGCCTGCTGGATACCTGGTTGCCTAGAGAAAAAGTGACAGAACATTTATGTATTTATGGGACGTGTCTGCAGTGTTTACCATATTTTACAAACAAATATATACTGAATATAACTGTTCAGAATTAAGTGAGTTAATTCTACACAGCAGCTATGGTAATCTTAACATTGTAAATACTATTTGAAAATCCCCCCTTTGCTGCACAAGTGTAAATTCCCCTCCCTGTTCATGGTGGGGTTGGTTCATCAGTAATGAAGGTCCAATCAAAACAGACAACTGTTTCAAAATACTACCTAATTTAAAGGTGGATTGAGTATTTATAGTGCAGCCGGAAAGTATTCACTGCGCTTCACTTTTTCCACATATTGTTAGCCTTATTCCAAAATGGATGAAATCATAATTTTTCTCAAAATTACACCCCATAATGACACCCTGAAAGAAGTTCGTTTGAAATCTTTGCAAATTTATTACAAATAACAAAAAAAAAGCACATGTACATAAGTATTCAGTCTTTGCTTAATACTTTGTTGAAGCACCGTTGGCACCAATTACAGCCTCAAGTCTTTTTTTAGTATGATGCTACAAGCTTGGCACACCTATTGCTTCCGTCTGGCCACTCTCCCATACAGGCCTGAGTGGTGGAGTGCTGCAGAGATGGTTGTGACATAACAAAATGTGGAAAAAGTGAAGCGCTGTGAATGCTTTCTGGATGCACTGTATACATTGCTGTAGTTGAATTTCATCATCTCCGCACATTATGCATTTGGCATCATGATACATTTTATGTATTTGTCTGGGGTTGATGAGGTAAAACTGATGATGTAAACACTGGTGTGTGTGTGTGTGTGTGTGCAGTGTGTCTGTGTGTATGCACATCCTGTGCTTACCTGTGCTTTGTGCCCAGGGCAGTGGCTCCTGGTGATGCCAGGTGAGAATACAACGGTGGTACTCCGGTCTGGGATCCAGCTTCACGTCACAGGAGAGCTGAAATACAGTCAAACAAAATGTTACTGAGATATTAAATATGGATTTTATAGAATCAAAAACCTTCCAACCTTTTATTGGTAATAAAACATTGTTCACTAGGTACATTGCTTCACAAATATATTTTTCAAGTGACTCCCGGTGAATCCCTTTGTTTGTAACCAGAAACAGAAGTCTCACTCAAGGTCAATTTGCCCTCTGAAATTTTGTAAGAGGCGAGTTGTTGCAGGAAGAGTTGGAGAGAGGAGTTTGTTGTGTTGGGGTAACGTTAGGAAATTAAGTCCTGCTAGCAGTTCCTTTGTGTGCACAACAAATTCCTCTCCCTCGTTTCCACCAGCATTTCCTGCAACAAATCGTCTCTCACGAGATTTCGGAGCGAGAATTGTCGTCGAGCAAGTCTTCAGTTTCCAGTTTAAAAACAAAAGGTGTCACTGGGAGTCACTCAAAGGGACCCTGGTATAACAGGTGTCTGACAACATCCTGTCAGTTGCAAAAAGAAGCACGGACGTAATTTTGACCAGAACAATTGCCCTGAAGCAATACGTCGCAGCCACTGCGGCTGCTGGCAGAAGCCATCTACAACAACTTACTGTACCTACCAGTCATTACGACACCGAAATATGTGAAAATATTGGTCAAGTTTAGTCAAAGGTATGCTGGGGCTCATAGGAATTCAGTGTATTGCTGAAGGACATGTCAGCAAGGTGGGGATTGAACCAGTCATCAAGTTGAAGGATTATCTCTACACTTAATACTTAATATGCTGCGGCTGCTTGTTATTATAGATTACTTAATAGCTTATAAATTTAACCTTGTGTGTTGGTGATATTCTATGTGTGTGTGTGTGTTTTACCCTAGCTTTAATAATTGTAGGTCTGGGATCCAAAATGCCTTGCATCTTCCTCAGAGCAGGAATCACAAACAGGTTACATGTCACCACTGCAGACACCGGGTTACCTAAAAAAACAACAACACTGGGTTACTAGGATAACTATAGGAAAGTCTGCAAACCACTAACTATACAGTTTTGCATTGCATACACAGCGAAGAGTGTCCACTGTACAGTATCTCACAAAATTAAACGACACTTTGCTACAATGCCAAATAGTGAGTGTTCAGCTTGTATAACAGTGTAAATTTGCTGTCCCCTCAAAATAACACATCACACAGCCGTTAATGTCTAAACCGCTGGCAACAAAAGTGAGTACACCCCTAAGTGAAAATGTCCAAATTGGGCCTAATTAGCCATTTTCCCTCCCCGGTTTCATGTGACTCATCCGTGTTATAAGGTCTCAGATGTAAATGGGGAGCAGGTGTGTTAAATTTGGTGTTATCGCTCTCACACTCCCTCATACTGGTCACTGGAGGAAGTCCAACATGGCAAAGAACTCTCTGAGGATCTGAAAATTTGTTGCTCTAGCGTGCTCAGCTTCATATCCACAGGTTCTCTTTGGGAAATAGACATATGAGTGCTGCCAGCATTGCTGCAGAGGTTGAAGAGGTGGGGGGGTCGGCCCCACTCAGTACTCAGACCATATGACGCACACTGCATCAAATTGGTCTGCATGACTGTCATCAAATAAGAAAGCCCGCAAACTAGTAGCTGAAGTTAATCAGACCAAGATAAACTTATTTGGTTCAGATGGTGTCAAGCGTGTGTGGCAGCAACCAGGTGAAGAGTACAAACACAAGTGTGTCTTGCCTACAGTCAAGCATGGTGGTGGGAGTGTCCTGGTCTGGGGCTGCATGAGTGCTGTCGGCACTGGGGAGCTACAGGTCATTGAGGGAACCACAAATGCTAACATGTACTGTGACATACTGAAGCAGAACGTGATCCCCTCCCTTCAGAGACTGGGCCACAGGGCTGTATTCCAACATGATAACGACCCCAAACACACCTCCAGGATGACCACTGCTTTGCTAAAGAAGCTGAGGGTGAAGGTGATGGACTGGCCAAGCATGTCTCCAGACCTAAACCCTATTGAGCGTCTGTGGGGCGTCCTCAAACTGAAGGTGGAGGAGCGCAAAGTCTCTAACATCCACCAGCTCCGTGATGTCGTCATGGAGGAGTGGAAGAGGACTCCTGTGGCAACCTGTGAAGCTCTGGTGAACTCCATGCCCAAGAGGGTTAAGGCAGTGCTGGAAAATAATGGTGGCCACACAAAATATTGACACTTTTGACCCAATTTGGCCATTTTCCCTTAGGGGTGTACTCACTTTTGAGAGATACTGTATGTATGCATGCACTATAAGCTGGTCTGTCTTGTACTGTCCTGTACATGTCTGCGTGTTATCTCTTTACACCAGTGTGACCCAGACACATTCATTGTACTTACTATAACTGTATCTTGATGTCAAACCACAGAGGAAACCTTGGACTAAATCAACAATACTGTCTGGAGGACACTCCCAACACAAACACATTAGAAGTCCTGAGCTGAGCTGCTACTTTTTCATAATTCTGATTTGACCACAAACTAAGACATCCAAGTCTATGTCCAATGGCAGTGTGGAAAGATTTTAATTATTTTGCTTAACAGAATTTGTAAAATGTCTTCAAAACAGTGACACACTTGTCGATTATCAGAATACATATCTCACTGGAGGTGAAAAGTTATGTCTGGGTGCACTGCAGACACCATATGTTTGCTGACGGCTGGTGAAAAGGAAGCTGTAGCTACTAGGAGCTTCAGTTTTCTCATCTCCTCAAGAACTGACTTGTATTTAACTGCCACCAACAGCAGACATAATAATAATAGTGATGATTACATATTTAGGCCTTGACCACACCCACACATGAAATATAGTGCCACAAGATGAGTTCTCAACTAAGTGAACCAGCGGGTAATGGTACATTTATGTTGCACAGGTAATGCCAATCTGGATTGTTTTCAATGGAAAACAAAGTGGTAAAATCCCGTAATGCTGACGACATAAAATGCTCCCCACAAGAACTAAATTCTTGTAACAAAAGTTGAATTTTCACAGCAGCACTAAAAATGTCACATATTTCAGTAGTAAAGTGGCATTTTACATAGAAACATGATATATCACTAAAAACTTTAGTGTGGCTGAGCTATTCCAGTTTGGGTTCAAGCACACCTAAACAGCACCTAAAATAGGTGCTGGTCACAGCCTGTTTGGTTTCGATCACATTTGGTCTCTTTAAAGATGCCTTAAAAAAGTCTGGTCGAAACATCTGTGGTACACTGGAATGATTCAATCACAATTCTTTTTCAAAATAAGATCATTAAATATTTGAAATGAACTGAAATCAAAATCATTATAATAACAAGAAGGCAGTTGGCTGGCTGACTTACGTCCTCTGGTGAAAACATTTTTAGACTACAATGTCATTGCAGCATGAAATGAGTTCTGGATAAGCAGGTAGAGATAGAGGTGACAGAGTCAGGGGCTGAGGTCGCCATGATATCTGACAAGAACAAGGACCAGGAAAAGTAGCTGGCAATCAAGAATGAGCATAAATATACCAGGTGAGTGGTTTGCTGGAATAATGACACTATTATTTGGGATCATCACTCAATTAAGGGTTACTTGGGGGTCAGGGTTTTGTAGACACGTGGATACTTTATAGGCAATTTAAGGAAGGATTTGTAGGGTTAGAGGACCTCTAGGGGATTGGAGGGTATGACTAACATTCTAAAGGCAGAGTGAGAAGGAATTTGTAGGGTTTACAGTCATTTCAACTTCCTCTGGTACAAAAGGAGGTTTCACACACCTGAAGGTCATTTAAAGGTGGGGTAAGCTATTCTGGAGAAATCCAACAGCATGACAAATACCATAACATAGAGTGAACAATAACACAGCAAGCAATGCAATTAATGTTAGCCAAGTGTGGGATAGAAAACTGGCCCTACAGTTAGCTTATGTGTGGGTTAGCAAACGGCCGTTACAGTTGCTGGAACATGCAGAGAGGACAAGACGGTTCCAGAGCCAGCACACCAGCTCCAGACAGACACAACTCTGCTGCTGCTATAGCTAACATCACAACAACAGCAGAAAGTCAGCTGAATGTCCGTGGTTAAGTCATTTAACGTTAGCTGACCAAATCATATATGGAATGGCTGGCATAGTGTTGAATTGCCTAGCCCACCTTTAAGGGTCATTTGGGATTCAGGATTGGAACATAAAAGTTAATATTGGTGTCCCCATTAACTGCCTCTGATCACTTACTTTGTGTTTCACTGCTCTGTGTTACACAACACAGATGTGATTGGAGGTCACAGTAACTGTAACAACAATTTGGAATTTCTTGGCTATTTATTTTAGCTGTTGACGCTACAGTACACTACTGATACAACAGTGCAAAAAGTGTTTGGAGCAACAGTAAGGCTTCTAAACATGCACAGTCCACATGTGCAAAACTGAAGTTGTACAGTTAAATCTTTGGATTATCACTTATGTTCACTGCAATACCCATGACGTATTGCAGTGAAGTGTAATTTCATTACAATGGTGTCCTAATATCTAGCACTGTTTGGGTAAAAGGTCATTTAGAAGAAATCGGGACTTCTTTCCTCCAAGCAGGATGAAAAGGGCATCTGTGCAGTCAGAGGAGTCATTTATGGGTCATTGTGGGTTCAGTTTCAGGACCTACTTCCTCTAGGTGCAGGGGTTAGTGGTTGTCTGGCCTCGGTCTCACTCGGGGCTACGACCTCCAGCAGGGAGGGCCCAGTCTCTCTGAAGTTGAAGTTTCCTTTAATAACGATAGCAATACATATACAGTGCTAGACTGGAGCAAAGACCAACACACTCCATATCACAAGGGCCCAGCCTAAGGCCACAGGACACACTATGTTGTAGGATGCCTTTACATTACTATGATGACATTACTGACATCTAGCACTGAAAACAACAGTGGAACTGCAACACAGGTTTTAACAGCACAACAGCACAGTGCTTTAGTCAAAGAGAGACTGGGGGTCTAAAGGGGCTTTTTAACCCATTTTTTGTGCAGACGTCTTTAATTCTGTTAACACTCGGCACAGAGAACACTAAATTGTTAGCAGCTCTTCAAAGGACAGTTCTGCCCATTTCTAACCTGAACCC